TTGCTCCTACTCTAAACCCCTACGCATTTGCATTGCCAATTTGCAACAACCAGTCACCGGGGCTGGCTACACAATTTACATTAACTCCAGCATTGTCAACAGTAGGCAGGCAGAAATCCTTTTTCGTTTTTGGTGACTTCCACTTAAATTGGTGTTCAGCAATCTTTTTGCAAACACTGACAACCATCTACCGAATTCGTAAACACAACGGTGGCAAAGCCAGACAGTCAGTGCCATCGATCACTCGTAAGCGGGCAAACAGCAAATCTCACAAACACCGCACAGATCGAACAGATGGATGGATGTAATAGCATCTAACATTTAGCTTGGCCCGGTTTAGCGGCTAGCTATGCTCGGTGTTCTGTGTGCTCTTCTCGTACGCAGGGCTTTGGCTGACAGCCTTGTGAGATCTGATCAGGCAGGAAGGCATGCACATGTAAAGAACAGGAGTCAGCTGTGTAGGTGGACGGCGTAAACGTTAGTGGGTGGGCTGCATCAAAACGCCAGCTAGCCAGCAGCCACCGTACGCGACTCTGCCAAACTGTCCAGGTGAGTGCCATCAAACTGATTTTGTTTGGTAGAAGAACAAAAAAAAAAAAAAACAACAACATCTACGATTCCCCCCCACCAACGACGTTTACCTGTGTGGCAAACTCTGAGAGTAGAAGTAACTATAGCTGAGGCGACGTAGCGCAATGCTCAGTCAAGTCGTCAGTCAAAACATGTTCAAAACAGGATAGCAACCAAAGCCAACAGCAGCCCCTGGCAAACCCCTCCAGCGAAATTAAAAACGCACGCTTATGAGTCAAATAGCACAAAATAATAATAACCCAACAGTTCGCTGGCGTGCAGTTTGTGTCAGAAACCATTTGACTGTTTATCTTATCGTTAGTTAGCTCAATTGCCAGCTGCAGCCCGCTACTTGCGAACAAAACCCAACAGCGTTACAGTGCCAAGAAGTTGACTGCCCCTGATCTTTCGAGCTAACGGTGAAAGCTAGTGTTATCCCCCGCGACAGCAACTAACATCACCCGACAACTCTGCAGCAACAATAGTCGTATTTTAATAGCTCACCTTAGCTACTTGTGCTAACTAGCTCTAACTGTTGTTGCTTAGCTTCCAACGCTACTCCCCCGTTCAAATTATTAAAAAAAAAAAAAAAAAGGGGGACGGCAATTCAAATAATACAAGGAAGCGACAATCGTGGGTTAATTAATGTTAGTCAAATCCCTCTGAGCTCCGAGGGGGGGGGAAAAAAAATCTGGTGAGTTAGTGTAAGTATATGTAAAAGGCAACGATACACTGTTAATTCCGTGGCATCGGCCCAATCCTCGGGCTCGACAAATGACATCCAGTTAAGGCCGTGCGCCTCGGCGGAGCAAAAACACACCTCAGCTAGCTCGGCTGGCTAGTTCGCTAGCTTCCGTTACCTCCCGGTCAACGATTAACGACGCCGTAGGTGGTCTCGCAGCGGAACATTTTACCCCGGTGATTGTTAATAACCGCAATTTAAAAAAAAAAAAAGTTTGCTTCACAAAGGCAGATGGGTGATTGTATTTACCTTCGGATGTTGCGTTCAAAAGGGAGGGGAATGTTTTAGCTTGGTTTGTGTCCGTGTCCGTATCTCTAGCTCCCCCTTTCTTCTCTCTCGCAGCTCCTCCAGAAGGAACTCGATTGGCTTGCCAAGCTAGCTGGTGAGCTAGCCTTGCTATAGCTATCAACAATAATCCGGGTCGGACTGATTCGCTCTTCTTCCGTCACTCAAGGGTGAATGTTTCGGCGTACATTCACGGGGAAACATTCGTTCTCCGCAGTTTCAGTCGGTCTGCGCCGACGTAAACAACGAGTGCAGCCAATTTCGACAGTAAGTGAGAAATATGACGATTGTTGCGATCATCAAGAGGCTCTCCTCTCGTAGAACAAAATGCCGACCGGAAGTTCTGCCGTCTGACTGACCAAAGATCTCAGGAGTGACTCCCTCCATCGGCGCCAAACAAAATGCCATGCAACGTTTGGTGTTGGAGCCGGCAGGCGGCGCTGTAACACAAGTTTACCATCTCTCGATAGTAGTAGTACAGTCAGTCGTACATCTGCTTTAGCTAAAAATAAAACATATAAACAAATCATCATTCTGGTGATGAGACAGGACGCGGAATTACCATAAATGTCCATACAATCACCATATAATCTGTTTTTTTTTAATTATACACTGCAAACTAATAGCACAATGTTGTTGCTGTATTATTATGTGTGCTGTGATGGAAGAATGCAGAATTACCATTCAGTGTGTTGTGGTGATTGTTATTGATGCATTAACATAATAGGCAGCATTTTAATGTTGTGGCAGGTTAAGTTGGAGGTAATTGTGACTACTTACTGTCACTACAGTTCAATCTCTAATTATGTATACTATTTTAAATGCGGGTTTGTTTATAAAATCTTAATAAAAAAGTCGTTAGTAACTATCTGACATATTAATGCAGTGGAGTTAAAAGTACAAATTGGAGTGTAGTGTATATAAAGTACCGTAACATTTAAATAAGTAAAGTACAAAATTGTATTTAAGGGTAATTCTTTAGTAAATTTACTTTTCACCACTGTGTATGCATGTGTGTCTTGTCTGAACGTTCATCGATACTTTTATGTCAAGAAAATTATCAGATCCTATCCTGAGGGACTATATTTTTTTCTGTATAGAGTTTATAATTAAAGGATTAGATGAGACATGACGATAGGGGGTAAGAACTTAATTGATAAAATGTGTTTATGTGTAAAATTTGCCATATGTTCTCAACACAAGAAAGATATCCAACTGTTCAGGATTATTGCACCTTGCAAAAGTTAGGTACATTTGCCAAATTTACAGTCTATTTTTAAAAAAGTTTTGAGGGAACTCAAATCACTGTTTGACCTCAAGGTGTCAGCATTGGCATTTGTTAAATATGATGCTTGGTAGAGAGGCAATAGAATGAAGGGTTCCTGGCTTGGAGCACAAATTTCAGCAAAGGACAACCAGGGTTGGTGGAGGAAATGGAGAAGTGCTTTCCCCTGCAGCACCAACAACCACCTTAAGCAAGAGACTGCCTCCACCTACACTCACTGTCAGAATCTGTACACAATAAATCCCTCTAGGCCGCTCCTGGGCAGACACTCCCTAATGCCAGCAAATAGGTATGTGCAAACCAGTTAAACCAGGATTTAAAACATTTAAAGACATCTACTTGTTCCACATGTTAGGCTACACAAATCTTTTGGCTTATCATGATACACTGATAAATACAGAAACACTGATTTAATTTTTTTATTTTATTCAAAAAATCCATGCAAGATAAAAATTACAACTATTGTTCAGTCGTGTGTGTATGTGTGTGCACTCACATGTGACATATCAAGAGAGACACCAGCAACTGTAAACAAAGGAACTATTCCATTTCCTCAAGTGTGTAAAGGAAAACATTTTGTCCTTTTAAATCAGCCAGTTTTGCATTTGTAAAAGGAACTAGAGGGATTGTTAGTTGGTCATTAGGTTCAACAAGAGCATGGTTACAGCATCTTTACATACGCAATCCTCAAGTAACCCTTTACAATTTAAATCTACAATTAATGTACAGATTTATCTACATTTCTCTATACAAGTACGGTATATTGAGAAGAATCTTCTATACAGAGCAGTTTCTATGTAAATGTTACATTTGTTATATATAGGCCTACTCAAATGCAAAACAATACGTACAAATTAACGCTAGCTAAAATAAAAGATCGGGAATTAAGTGAAAGCCATGACTTTACAACATGCATCCATATTAAATCAAATGAAATAAATGTTAGATTTTATTATCTAAAGAAAGGTCAGTTGAGAATAGACAAGACTTAGTATAGTCCAGCAACATTTCAAAATGATATACCCCTTACTATCATTTTACTAATTTAATATAAAACCAATATTTCATACTGACACTTTAATGTTTCAACCAAATAGTTTTAGTTCCATGTTAGAGGGCCTGCGTAAGAGACTTACTCACACACACCATTAGAGTTAATTAATCAGAAATAACATCATGACTATCTTCCTATTGAAACATTGATGTATTATTGTGTAGGTTAGCGATTTGTTTGGATGGGTGGGTATGATTTAATGAAACTGTATAGAAATTTGGAATATTTTTGGTCCTTTTTTTGGTTGAAATATGATGGCTTAAAATTCTGATTGGATGAAGATTTAAATTCTCAGCAGAGCAAATTTTCAGATGAAAATGTGGCTGAGTGGTTTTTGGTTTATCACTTTAATGATTGTAATAGTTGGTTTAAGGGCTGGGTAGTTGCCAAGATGTTCTGACAGCTATGTTTGCCTTACAATTGCACTCACTTGTTTAGATAATTAGGGGACAAAAGTGTGTGTACCTTAAGGGTAGATGACATCATGCATTCATTCAGTTGAAATCTGTACACCAAATCATAGAAAATAAAGTCAGGAATCTCTGTACAGAAGTTTGTAAATAGAAAGCCCTTTTCCCCCCAAAGAAGTTGGCCTGGTCACCCCAGTGTATGTGCATCATATCCAACAGTTTTCACCTCAGTCTCAGATTTTTACTACCATTTCACTTACATGATCCACATAGAAACAAAACAAAAGCAACAACTTTAAAGCCAGAAAGGCGTCTGTGCAAGTATGGGCTGTAATCTGCTGCGGCATGTTAAGACTCACAGCAATACTGGCCTCTAGTGGGTTAGATTAGTCATCACAGTTCTGAGAGAAGTTGGATATGGCATGCAGACCATTGACCACCAGGGACTAGAGTAGTTCATTCTCACTGTAATAGTAAACAGCTGCCATCCTATGGCAGATAGGTATAGTACTCTTAGAAAGCATCACAGCACAAACCCTTAGAAAAACAGTGAACCATTTCAAGTGTGCAGTATATCAGGAAAGCCCACACCAGACCTCAAACATTAGTGGAACTTATCTTGGCTGAAAAATATTCTAGCTGTAGATCAATTTAATTTGAACCCTTCAATCTTGCAAGAGGAAGGTTTGCAAATTAAGAAGAGATTATTTGAGAACGTGGTTCAATGCAGCGCAATGGTTTTCCTAAGAATGTATGCAACGTCAGACTCTAGCCACTACATCTTGGTCTCGCTGTGAGGAGGCCTCTCGTTCTCATACTCATTCTCCTGGGAGATGAGCTGGTACGGCTTCTTGTTTGCCTCCTCCACCACTGAGTTTCCAACCTCAGGGTCCTTTTTCTGCAGCTCGTGACGAGACAGGTGTTCCACAATACCTGCACCAATGGAGTCTCCAAGGACATTGGTGGTGGTGCGCAATCGGTCCCTGAGGAAAGACAGCACAGGTGAGGACAGGGGGCAGGGAGTAGGAAGAGAGACAAGACAGAACAAAACATGACAAGATGAAACAAGTGACTAATAGACAAAAAAGACGACAAAACAAGACAAAAAAGACAAAAAAGACAGGTGAAGAGCCAACAAAAGACTGAAGAAGACACAAGTACGACAAATTAATCAGTTCCATCCAAGACACTTTAAATTGAATTCACCTGAACTGTCTGTAAATGTGTGTAAATGAAAATTATCATTAGAAAACTGAAGGCATATTTTTAATCGCCCCAGGCACTCCACAAACCACATGAAACAGAGCCAGTATATTGGAGGAAGTAAGACATCGCGCTGGGATTGGCTGCCAACTGAATAAAAACCAGATGGATCGAGGGACATGGAATGTGAAGGGAGTGTCTCTGGAAGCTGTCCTGAAATCCACTCAAGAGTATATGGCACACCAATGTTTTAACCCCATAAAACCTCCCTCTGGCTGGAACTTGCTTGGATTCATACCACACTATAGTTTATTTCCTCATGATTAAACCCTCTTCATTCCCTCTCTATAGCCAACATGTTTGTACACGGTGCTCGTGCTACTGGAGGGAAAATATACCTTTACTTTTTAACTGAATAGCTGAAAAGTCTTATTGTCAATACTTACAGGAACCAATCAACTGCAATGATGAGGCTGATGTCATCAGTGGGCAGGCCTACAGATGTTAGCACTATCACCATGGTGACCAGGCCTGCCTGAGGGATTCCAGCTGCTCCAATACTGGCTGCTGTGGCTGTGATACTGATGGGGAAATGTGCAAAAAAGGCAAATATGAATTGTCTACAAAGCCATCAATACAGTGCAACTGGGACAGACATGTCCCAGCATTGACCTCTGAATCATTCCTTGGTAATAGCATTGAAGAGGGTTACTTGAATTCATTCCCGTGGCAGAAACACTATCGCCCATCTCTCCCTATTCAAATAGTGGTGGTTAGAAAATCATGTAACCTGTGGTTTTGAGGCTTGGACATGCCTCTCTTGGGTTAAGTAGTTCTTCTTGCCATAATGAAAGACAAATGTAATAGAAATATTCTGTTGTACATCCAAAACTGTGGCAACTCTCAGAGAGGGTGAGTTTACTGAATCAAATGCTTTTGAGTCCATGTACCATGTTGAATAAGATGTTACAACTATAATGCTAAAAATGACTGAATGAACTACAATATTAATGGATTGGTACTGTGTGTCACATACCTGATGGTGAGAATCTGTCCGAAGTTGAGTTCATAATCATTGACCTGGGCGATGAAGATGGCTGCAAGGGCTTCATATAAAGCTGTGCCATCCATGTTTATGGTGGCACCGACGGGGAGCACGAAACGGGTCACTCGCTTGTCCACCTTGTTGTTTTCCTCCAGGCATTTGAAAGTGATGGGCAATGTGGCAGAACTGAGAGAAGAAAGAGAGAGAGAACATGAAAAAACAGCAAAGTAGAGAAAAAGGTCTCTTGGAAAATACAGTCAATTGGTGAATTGCTGTGACCACTTTAAGAGAATTATTATTGATAATGATTGTTACATTTTGTCTGCTTGTTTGTTCTCCTTGCTGTTTCTCAAGCAGTGAGGCAATTTAATTTTACTCCCCTGTACACTACAGTATTGTATATGAGAGAATGATAATAAATTCTACCTTGACCTCGACCTTTCTTGTCAGTCTGTGATATTTCAAACCCAATCACATACCTAGAGGATGTTCCAAGGGCAGTGATAAGTGCCTGCAACAGCCCAGCGATGAAAACGAAGGGGTTCTTCCTGGTGACAAGGAAGTAGAGTGTTGGCAGGACAATGATGGCGTGGATGAGGAGGCCGCAGATGACTGTAACTGTGTACATTCCCAGCTGGCCGCCCATGGATGTAATGTCATCCATCTCCACGATCTTACCAGCAATCAGGAACAGGATACCAATAGGGGCATACCTGAGGACAGATGAGTGCTACTGTGAATTTGTTCTTGAAAGATCCAACACTTCAGTCTCCTCTATCCAACCATCCATCCCTCTTTGTACCCACCACATGATTATGGCGACCAGCCTCATAATGGCTTCATTGAGACAGTCGAAGAAGTCCTTGAGGGGTTGTCCCTGTTCCCTCATGCTCCCTATGATCAGACCAAAGCATATGGAGAACACCACCAGGCCGAGAGCATTGATTCCATTAACCGACCCTGGCACTGGGATCATCTCCTCCTGGGATATCTCCTGGCTGCCATTGAGTGTGAATATCGAGTCATTCACTGTCATCGTCACATGGACTACTCTCTTGGCATACTTCGTCTTGAACTGGGTTTAAAAGAATAAAGAGGGCGGGTTAAATGATGATTGATCCCTGTATTAGCATCTGGTGCACAAAATTTCACGATCCTTCCAGAGTACCTCTTTAAAACCTCTATATAGCGTGGGCAGTTAAGAATGAATGAATCATAAGGACCCGTAAAAAAAGTCCTTTCCCTTTACTGTAAAACCTCTTTTTGCGATTGTTACTTTGGAACTATGAGTAGAAATTGAGGTAATTAGTTGATAGAAATAACCTCTCAAGTGATTTTTATATAGATGGAAATGTAGATTTGATTGCTGATTTTTGAGTATTAAATTTATATATTTTCAGTGTAACAGAGGTCTTAAGCACCTCAAAGTCCACAGTAATGACAATGGCAACAAGAACCTACAAAAGCAAAACATTTAAAAGAAACCCTGCACTGTGGAGAAGCTTTTAAACAATGCTAAATGTGCACTCAGGTACTGATGATGATATGCTGTAGTAAGATAATTAAGAAATAAAACATATAATGTAATTGCAGGACAAGGAAATAGGCAGGATGTGGTGAGAGTTACCTGTTTGGTGCAAGCCTCCACAAGGTTAGGGGGAAACATGTTTCTAGAAAACCGAACACAAGAAAAACATTTATGTTAAGAATAACAAATTACGAATGACAAATAGGCATGCACGTTGCTAAAAGAAAAATAAACAAACTACATGCAGTGTATACATTATTAGGTCTGATAAATAAATGAGGGATGATGAATTGCTGACAGAATTAGTGTACTGGAGTGCTCTTGTGAGTGTTTGGTTATTCAATGTGCATATATGTGTTTGCACGTACCTGATAAGGTCCAGAAAGGCATCAGCTGGGCTGATCTGCTCTAACTGTGGCGCCTTGGCGAACTCATCCTTCGATCCTTTTCCGGGGTGAATAATGAGCACCATGACGATACCGATGAACACAGCAATGACAGTAGTGGTGGTATAGTAGACCACTGCCCTCATACCCATTTTACCAGAAGCCCGGCTGTCCAGAGCAGCCATACCTGAGAAGGACACATCATGTACGTTAATGTATATCACCACAACAGAGTTTATCCTCCAGTTTCTGTATTTATACACTGGTACCTGCACTCTTACTCTTATTATCAGAAGTTTGGATGGTCTTTCATGCTGTAGGAATTCCTAACAGTTCCTGTAGAGGGAGCAGCAGTGCTATAATCATGTAGTGCTACAACCAGCTCCGTGCCATCTTGTAAATTAGCCACATTACCAGTCACTGAGCAGTGTATGGATTAATTAATTCATATTTTTTTTCACCAACTGCCAGTTTCATTCATTCATTTGCTCTTCAATTACACACAACTAGCTTTCAGTGAAAATGTTGTTAAATTCAATAATCTTATAATTAAGTTAATAAAATGTGTCGTTGTTTCTGTATATGAAAAAAAACATCCCTATCGTCATGCTGCACCATGACCTCAGAGTTTGCATAGTGTCATTTGCTTCTGTCCCATTGAGTTAGCCTGGGAAAAGTACTGTAATTACAGCTGGAATACACCCATCTGTATTATCTGCCCAACAATCTGTGACAACAAAGAGCGGCAAGAAACACAATCTCACTCTGACCTTTACTAGTGGAAAAAACGCACCTACTGTACAGCACCCAGGGGGTAGATCTACTATGCAACATCTGTTTACATCCTGTATATTCATATACGTATGATTCAAAAGTATAACTGCAGGGACTACATGTTTCACCCCAAAGCAGAGTTGGCATCATTCAAATTGCTGTCTTTATTTGTCATTTGACAGTGGTGTGTCCTCAAGTGTGACGTTAATTTGTTGTGTACATAAAGAGCAGACAGACATGTCAGTTACAGATTAACAGTCTGACCTCAACTGAATCTTTGTGTCATGAAGAAAAATATACAACAAAGATATATGTGTGTTCTGATATGAAAACTGTATGTACTGTGATATCAAGCCAATGCATAGAAAGTATCAGACAATACAACACAGACTGATGTTAGCCTCTATAGAAAAAATGTGTTGCAGCATAATTCATAACAACCACATGATAATCAAGTTACAAAGAAATCATTTGCTACCTTACTCTCAGTGGAAGGCTGGATATTGTTTAACTGTATAACCTAAAAGAAGAATTCATAAATCACTGCTGGAGCCTGAGGTCTAAACCATCCTCCACAGCTCTAATAGCATTAAATGGACTTTGTAGGGATAATGGAGGTAAAAAGAAGCACATCCATTGGAAACAGGCAAGCTGCCTTCGATAGGCATGACAGCAGAGTTGTATTTTCAATGTGTCAGGTCCTATTATGGCCATTATCTTCATTCAGAGCTGTACAGGGCAAAGCAGGCTTTGTGTGATGGGAGATGTATGTGTTCCTTTCGTATGTGGCACTTTGACGCCTTGCGTACCAAAGTGTGTGTGTGCATGGGCGTACTTACTGCCCCTGCTTTGGCCCTCTCCGTCCCTCTTGTCTCAACATGCCCGGGACTTAGGCTTTTATACAATTTCTTTTGATCCTCTTTCTCCCCTCCTCATCCTTCCCCTGCCTCATTCTCTTCTCCCAAATTCTTCACCTCCTCTATCTACCACCCCTCCATCACCTCTTGTTTCAGGGTGCCCCCTCGTACCCCTCCCTTCCTCTCCCACCCGACCCTCCTGGCCTCCCTCCTCTCTTTTTCTTGCACGCTGATCTTATTGCTGCAATCCTCTTTCATTGCCACTCTTTTCCTCCAAACCACCCCCCTTCTCCTGCTCTCCTCCTATTCCTTTTCTGACAGCCCTGGGAAAACTTGTTGACTTAGTTAGACCCGCACGCACACAATGATCCCCAGCTTGTTGTCCAGGCAACAGCGGACGCAGTCTCACCAATTCCATCCTTTCAAAAGAACCGAGATTGAAGGAGCGCAGGGAGAATGACTTTCTTTCTCATATGGGGAATGTTCATCAAACACAAAGAAGTAGGTCTATTTTAGGGAGGGGGGAAGTTGAAGCGCAGGACATAGCAACTGCAAGAGGTCTGCCCACAGGGCAATTAACATCCACTGACGCCGGCCAAAGATTGACTCCCCAGTTCTAGCAAGACTTTGCCTGAAGGCCTGCAGTCAGAAAGTATCTCCACACCTCAGTCTGTGGAGCTTAATAGATTTTACTGAATTAATCTGTTTTGATCATTAATTTCATTTGTTTGTTGTTGATTTCCTGGCAATTTGAATTCCTCACCTTGGGCTCTAGGATGTTGTGATCTAAACTTTTCCAGTTTTAAGACATTTTATAGAAAATATGGTTAATTGAATAATCAAGATAAGTCTGTAATGACAATAATTGTAAATGCCCTGCAGTTACAGTATAGCACAGATAAACAGATTAGTGAAGGCCCTTATAAATTAACAGTGGTGAAAAGGTTCAGCTAAGCAATTTAATGTGATGGTAGATTTTTTAGCTCAGAATTTACAAAATATTTTGTTGTTTTTTTTGTCTGCAGGTTCCTACAACAATCCTTTCATGTATGATTGTAGATGAGTGCCATTAGATTTACATTCTTTATATACATGTTCTAACTTTTGCGCACAAGACAGTGCTTTACTGCACTCTTGAAACAGATTTGCCATTCTTTGTAAGTTGCTATGGTGAAAAATAAAGACATGACATATTGTCATGAGTCTAGTTTTGAAATACTTGCACTTAGAATACTTTATACTTTTAGTCTACATTTCAGGGAATATTTTTGCTGTAGTTTCTCACAGATTCTCTAAAGGCTAGTCTTTATTTTTAATACTGACATATTAATAGTAAAATCATACTATATGACGCATTTTTGACTTCAACTAAAGTCCCAACTTGACCACTTCCATGTTATATAGTGATTTAATACCACAAGGGAATTTAAAAACTAGGGAGAACTTGTACTTTACATTTTACTACCAGCTACTTACATACTTTCAATCCATGTGTTGACATTTATTGTTTTTTATAACTTAATTATTTTATTTCTACCTTTATGTTGCTACATTTATTGAACAAACTCACAAAGTCTCATATTGTCTAGGTATTTACTATCAAGCTTCAACCTCCCTGACATTTTTTCCCCGTTCTTGCCCAGGTCCCCACCCCCTCTACATTTAAGCTCCCCTTCCAGCGACCTCTGCCATAATCATCCTCCTTTTCCTCTTTTTAATGTCCACATCCCCTCTCCCTGTCCAGCCCTTCTTGGCTCTATACATATATCTCTGTGGTGGACTCTCTGCTCTTTTAATGAAATGCCTGGAGACAATATGGATTTGCACTAAACATATGTTGAGTGGTTACTTTTAAGTGTGTTTTTGTGTGCGTGAGATAGAAATAAATATGGTTCTGGATGAGGAAGAATCTGGATCTGTCATTGAAACAAATAAGCCAGTTTCTCATAATCCTTGATCCTTAGTTTTGCTTTCCCTCATTTCCCTCATTTCCAGGGCCCCTCTGGACTCTGCTCAAACTTTCTGATTCCTACTTTAACCTCATTTTTAGACAGGGTCAAAATTCAGAGGTCCCTTTCAACTGGGACGACCCATTTCACATAAAGGCACAATTCATCCTTGAGAGCGTTACAGTTGGTTTGCACAAGGAGGGACCACGTGTTTGCAGAAAGTCATAGGAGCTCCGATGCTCTTATCCTCTAAAATGTGATTCTCAAAGTTGTGCTCAAAGGCATGTATATAAAGAAATCTGTGCTCTAGAAACAGAGCTTCCAGCAATTACATTTAGGCTGCAGGACATCAGTTCTTATAGGAAAGTTGGTGAATCCAGCCTACAAACGTTTTCCTCATGTGTGAAAAGTCAAAGTCCCCAACTTTAAGCGTGCATTTTGGAATGTGTGTGTGTTTTGGTGAAGCAGTTGTTTGTCACAACCACATTTATAACCTCTGATTAAATAAGAATAACAAAAATAAAGCTTTATAGATGCATATCTTAAGACTTTGCAATGAAGAGAATAATGACACACTGTAATAGAGTGGGCTTAAGAGCAGGTTTAACAGTAAAGATGATGCAGCAGATAAAGCCTGTTAAAACCGGCAATACATTATTTCAAGTCTATTTTTGGAACATGGGGAAAAAAGTGGCAGCAATAAATGAAAAGCTTCTTGTAGTAATATAGTAGTTGACTTTATCTAGTCTAATGATGAGTTCCTAGCAGATAACATTGCATCTGATATCTTGAATAAGGGCACATCCACACACAAGAGAAAGGAGCTGTATTACAGATGACTTGGCTACAGAACAGCACTCTTTGTTGGTTTCCACATGTTGTAGCTGTGGTCATGTGACATGATGTCAGAAGATGCTGATGTTACGCTCCGCTGCAGCACAAAGCAGGTTATTATTGGACAACAAGTCTCTGTCATCTCTTCAGTAGACTGGCTTTCTTGTCCTGTCAATCACTGCTCAGAGACTGGAGATTTGATCTCAGCATGTCCCGCCTACATACAGTCAGTCAGTACTGCTGACCAGTGTTTTTGGAAACACGTGTTCCATAACTCTATCTGTACTTTTACTGCCATAACAAGTAGGGGCTCTGCTCAGTAACAGACCCACAGGCCTTTGCTTCTGGAAGAAAACATCCCTGCATGTCTGAATGGGTTTATGAACCATATCAACAGTGACGAATTAACCACATCCCTGGATTAGAAGTGAAAACATCAGCGTCATATGTTTGTGTTTTTCTGAAATACAGCCACAAATACATGTGAGCTGCAGAAGTACGAGATGTACTCAGCCAAAGTAATCCAGCCCAAAAATTCTGAATTGCTTATTCAATTAAAACACAAGACTGCTCATGTTGTATCAAGATCAAGAACATTACAACATGGGTCAAGTATGTGATTGAAGCCAGCACTGTACGTCGAAAACATATCTCTCTCTCTCTCTCTCTCTCGCTCTCTCTCTCTCTTTCGCTCATGAGGTCATCCTAACGCCATCCACCGCTGGGCCCAAAACCAACAAACAGCGTTGGCTGAACAAACAGATGGCTTACTCTGCCACTCATGAGGTACATGTTGGTCGGTGGAGCCACAAAACAACAAACAGCACCGTCACTGGCATGAAGTTTTTACAATGAAAACACATGCTACCTGCAAAATCTCACAGTGGTCCTGCTACTATGTGATTGTTGTACTGTACTTCCAATTCAGGATAGGAGAGATATGGTATTAGGGGACACAGTGGTAGAGTGTTGATGAGTTCTGTCTGGTCGGGTGGGGTACTATTTCTACTCTCTACAGAGCTGAGCGGGAAAGAGTGGTGATGTTTGATATAAATTTAGAATAAAAAAATGTCAAGCAGGCTTGAACTGTAAATGAGTTATTTTAGATATCTTAGGTACAACAAAACTAAAACAACTAACTAAAAATAGCCAATGACAACTGAACACTTGATTTACCGTCATTATGTCCTAACCATGTGGGAGTGCTGTGTGTAAGCCTTGTGTGTGTGCAACATTGTCACATCTATTTGTCATAAATATCAGTGACTAAAAGAAAAGGTTTATCAAAAATACTAAAGCACAAACACCACCGTTTCAAAATATGTTTGACTGCTCAAAAGAATAAAAGAGTAAAAGGTAAATTGAATAATTAAGTGAATAAAAGTCGTGTACATCTTGGTGGGAGATGCACCTGCAGTCTTTGGTGTCCTGATGGCCCTAAAAAGAAGGCCTGACGTTCATACCTGTGATGAGACTGGAAACCAACAGGGGTAGCACGAGCATCTGAAGCATTCTCATCAGCAGTTCCCCAGGGAAAGAGAAGAACTTCACTTCACGGTAAGACATTTTATAAGGGCGCAGGGCAAATCCCAGGATAATGCCTGCAGTTAACAGAAAGAAAAGACAAAACTTTATCAGTCTTTTGTGTTAACCTGACTAGATGTTAAGAGGCATATCTATGGATGAAGATATGCGTTTTACTTTCCCAAAATATCATCTGAAAGCTTAAACATCATATCTTATCACATGACTGACTTGCAGTCTCCCGAGTAATACAATATATTTTTACAAATAAAATTCAGTGGACTATTTAAGAATGATGCATTAGAGGTGGGGCTGTACTGTTAAAGGTTAAACACGTAATTCCATTATCATTGCTGGTAATACTTTTATGCAATAATAAACATTTGCATTTGCTGGTATTTTGACAGGGCCTGTCCTGGAATAGGAGCAGTTCAGATTATTGTGCAATGATTGCAAGCCATATGTTCCCACTTTTCATGCTGTGTTGAGGAATTCTATATACAAATGTACGTGTCGATTACTTTTGGATACTCTGACACACCTGCCTCATGAAGTAGATGTGCTGAATTTGTGTGTCTATTATAAAAAACATTTAACCATAATGGTTTTAACTGAGTCTGCACAAGGTGATACAAGGCACTCCTCTAGTCTTTGGAAACATTGGGTTAAATGTCTGTATGTGTATTGATCGCTCTGAACTGCAGTGATTTCATCACCATGTTGTTGTCCTCACCCTCTAAAATAAAGTTTGAATTGAATTGAATTAAGTTTCATTATGTGCAGAGTTCTTTTCTTCAATGTCAGAAAAGTCTATTCACTCATTAAGGTGTTTGTCCACTGCAGCGCTAATCCACCAGCAGGCCCAGGTGGCTGACCCAGCAGCCTGAAGCGATGAATATGCCAAATTTAACAATCAATCAAATGTGTTTATCGTGGCACGGTGTAACTCTAGCAGGGCTGCAGATGTGCAAGAGGTGGGTGGGCCTGGCTCACTTCCTACTGGGTAAGATTCAAAGGTTAATGGCAACAAGTCAAGGGTCAGGGGTCAGCTACAGCATCAGATAAAGGCCGGTCTGCTAAGTTAATCTGGGTTCCCTCTATTCTTTCACGCGGTGAGTTTGTTTCAATTCTTTTCCTTCTTCCGTCCTGCTACAAAGGTGTTAGTCACACCAGATTGATGGCTTGTCGGGACAATGCAGAAAATCTGGTGCCTTCTTCTTTACAAGTTTGAATAGACAGGGGGTCAAAACTGGTGATAGACGGAGAGGAAAGGAACAAACAAAGTCCAACGATCCCCAGTTTAAAATGAACTAAATTACCAATAGAGTTCAGTGTCTGAACAGTGTCTTAAGTGAAACAAATACATTTTCCCACTTACCAATAATGACAGCTGCGATGGTAAAGAGCACAAAGGCATTTCTTAAGAAGAATCCTTTCACATCATCCTTTGTGATGCTTTCCACTCTCTTCTTGGCCATCAGCGACCGGGACTGGATCCCGGCTCGGAGCTGGTGGAGACCACTCCGGGTCCTTTGTGGGTTCTCCCCAGAGCTCTGAGTCATAGCTGGAATCTTCCGACCTGTTATAAACGTGCAGGAACTTGAACTCCTTCAAGCTGTGATGGGAACACCATAAAGGCGTTGCTAATTCACTTGTCACCGGTTGCTCTTCCTCCTCTCTGTTACACCTCTCCTTTGGTTGTGTCCTGATTGAGAGGGAAGGACATATTGGAAAGAGTTTGCATTATTTGAGCACAAAGAAACAAACTGTGCACTCTTAGTTCAGTCAGATAATTTTGTAATTTTGTCTGTACAATATACAGCACATACAAAGTGGATTAAATGATTGATTGTCTTATTCTGACCTCTTTGACTGGCATTGTCCCTGACATGCAGAAAATGTACAATGACAGTAATAATAATGCAACCCCGCCAAAAATGCATTGTAAAAACCAATCTGTCAACAAACAGCTGAGTGAGGAACTCATGTGTTGCAGCCTTTAACTGTGAAGGCATGCAGACTTCCTCCTACGTACACTCTACAACTACAACACACGTGTACAGTCTGGGTCTAACAGTTATACTGATACTGATTCACAGATCTTTCACACACACACACACACAGATACAATTGCATAAATATTAAATGGTAAAATACTAAGATAGAAGTTGTTTCTGTACCTTTAGACTTGAGCAATAAGTTCCTTTGGAGTAATGTCTCAGGGAAAACTTCTGGATTTAAAGCTTGATCAGTGTGAGAGGGACAGAGGAACTCTTTGGCTGTGAGCTGGTTGGAGTG